CGCGTGTATTGCAGGGCGCCTTCAACCACTGCGCTACTCGTTTCCCAGAGAAGCAGTATTTGGACCAAAACAAGGGTGCTCCGACGAAACTTTTCAGTTTTTAATAATAACAGCATCAAGTCTAACTGAACAATTCAAGAAAACATGGAGCTTCTGCATTCGGACGATTAATTTAGAGCTGTTCATCTCGATGCTGACAAGTGTTACTGTGGGTACCTTCGATTCTGGAACTCATTTGGTGATTGAAAACATGTTTATAGTACGGCGAAGGCACAATAGAAGTGTTTGTGCTCACAAAAGTAGTTTTATGAGCGTATAAAACCATAGGTAGGATACGGGTCGCAACGAACGTCATGCACCAGTTTTCGGATTCCATCTTCTCTGTAGGTGCCTGGATCGTTCCAATATTTTGCGGTCGGCGTGAGAAATAAGTCGAACGTTTTCAGGTAATGACCTTTCTATTGAATGCATCTAAGCTTCCACTCATGAGTGAGCATCGAATCATATGAGCTTCCTCGTTACTGTGCTCCTCAGTATGCTCAGCGCTATCGAATGATATTCATTCATTGAGACAGACTATTTCCAGCGGATCAAACATGTTCTCTCAAACCGAAACACAAGCAGATGCGTGAGGAATTCCACAGACAACACAATTTTCTTGTGATAAGTAAGTTGCTCGGTAGCCACAGGGATTTCAGCGAGGTCATTCCATCGTGACCGAAAACACGTGTGAAGATGTCATGAAAGGCGATCAAGTAAAGTCTGTTGTGGTAATTCCCACGACCGACTTTCTATCAACGTCGGCATTGAAGAAATAATTCTCTACGTTCTTGTTGAACAAATACGATAGAAGCTTTACTTACCTTAATGAAGAATAAAGTAACATTTTGTGTTTGAACAACAGGAACACAGGGAATGCTATTACTTTTCTGAAGCAATTCGCAAGAGCAAGATGTAGTTTGAGTGGCAATTGTTGTGTTCCGTGATCTGATAATTCAGAGCGGGATACGCCCTTCCCTTTACGCTAAGCGTCTCCAAGAAGAATAGGTTTTCGCGCACATCAGGTTATTTCAAGGAATTCTCATGGAAATCACTGGCCTACCATTGTATGGCGAAACTCTGTGTGTGTGAGAACTGATAATCAACATTCGTGGTTAATCGAATTATTGGGTGTAGAATTGTGTTTGAAACGTTTCAAAAGGCGAGATTCATTCTCCAGCAAGGTAAAGCAAGCTGAGAACCAGTTCGAGCACTTCTGCAAGCACTCAAGTAAGGACCGGACAATTGCTGGACATACGGGGCAGATCCCAGATCTTCGTGTCTACCGCCTCCTTTTTTCCGATCCCACCATGCATCATTGTGGCGCGATAGGAAAAGGCAGAGGGGATTTCTTGGAGCCCATTCGATCGCAACTGCATTACAGACACAAATAACACAAAGCGGACATATTGCCACAAAGGACGAAAAGTGTTTGGTGTTGATTCATGCAGTGACCTAGCGATGTAAAACTCAGTCTGCTGTTCTCCCAGACAAATATGGTGCCAATTCAGGAGGGATACAAGGCTTGCTTAGCCCGCAGTGCGGGATCGAGTTTGCAAACGGTTCGAGCTGTATTGGAGGACACCTTCACACCCACAGCTGTAAGGTGTTGAGAATTAACAATTAGTAAATAATCTTAACATTTTTATTTACTGCCTATTCTTTCTAATGGCAGGGTATCTTGCGAAATATAACCTTAGTAGATAAATAAGTAAATAGCTGTTAGCTAATGTTTCGCTTTAAACAGGTTATTTTGAAGCAGCTGTAATCTGCCACTACTTGAGGATGGATGCCGATTTGTAGGTACGGGACTGTGGTCTAGAAAACCGTGCAAAGACCGAATTCGACAGAGCTGCGGCAGCCAGTACAAATTTCCCTCGGACGGGAAATTTCGAATACTACCTCATTAAAACCTCTATGGGAAAGTATGTCCTGCACTTCCTGACATTTCAAAGTTTTGCGCAGAAGTACTGGTCTGTTCTTGTGATTTTCTCATGATTTTAGGGACCTTAACCAAGCTATTGAAAACCTTAACCCATTACTCCTCGAGAAGGTATGTTATTTCGCTACCTAAACACTGTTCTTAATTCAACATCTCTTGCGCCTTAAGCAAGAAAATAGAGTTAAAAATGCATGTTCTAGGCGGAATATATGCAACCAGGCACTAAGTACGGATGCAACACCGAGAAAAGAGGAACAGAACTACTCCTTGCTTGCCTTTACTTTACTGCCTAGGTAGGGATTTTCATTCATCGGTGTTAGTTGTTTCTTTGCCCTCTCCATTTAATCAGTTTTTTTCAGGACGACCAAGAGACAAGCATCATTCCAGCCAATAAGAAAAACAACACATTGATATCTCTTTAGCGTCTTAACATGCTAATGGGTCTTCATTGTTTTGTGATCACAATAAACAAGAAAGAAAGTTGCTGTCGAAAACCGCTGAGATAGGAATTTGAAGAAGATTTGAAGACCTGGGCATGAGAATTCCTCATGGGCACGTAGTCTCACACTTATGTTCGGCACTCTTTTATGTTGTGTTAGAAGCTCTCTCCCAACGGATTGTTTTTTTTTCAATGAGACACCCAACTTGTGGTTTTGATAGTAATTGCTGTTTTATTGTTGAGTATCGCAACACTATCCCAAATAATGTCTTAACTTTTATTCACTCCCTATTCCTCTATTCATTTTCAAGGCAAGGTGCAATGTTAATTCTCAGAAGTGCAACCACAGGGATGCGGTGATGTGGGCCGTACTCGGGACCTAAGTTGGGCTTCTAACGCGTGATTAGCGTTGCCGGAGACTCACATGTTATCCACTAGACCAACTTAAATCATTGCTTTCTCTTTTTCGTAGTCGACTTTTTTCACCATAACTTTTCCATCAGCAATCATCCTTTTGCTCATATCTTAGCCTCCTTGTGGTTGTATTTCACAGAACAAATACGCTTGAAAAGTGCTTAGTTTCAGAAATGCAACATAGGGTGCAAAAGTGTCGAGCTCCTCAATTCTCTGATATGAAAATGGGGGTAGAGGTGGCTTTGACGAATTTAAATTCTCTCGTTTCGTTTTAAAGAACTTTTGGAACATTTGATCTTGATCCCTCCAAATCTAACATACCATTTTTTCCTCTTCGTCATGTGACACGTGTAACAGTATTTTTTGTAAGCTCTGGTCAAAACAGATGACATTTAATCATTTTTACTTACTTACTTGATGCTTGAACAGCGCGTCCTCACTGGTTGTGCGAAGCTAAGCATAATCACCACTTTTTGGAGACTTCCTGGTCAGGCCATTGTGGTTCCCTGGAATCTCGAGGTCAGCCTGGCCTAAGTCTGCCCCAGGTCTTTACCACCAAAACAGTCGCAGCCTTGTTGATCAGAGGGACATTTGCCACCATGAGACTTTGATACCACGACGGTGGTGGATCCTGGTATTGGTTTATTCTTAACAAAGCTTCCTGATTGAAACGCCGGACTCTTTCTCAGCTTGGGAGACCTTGCCAGGTGATGAATCCCCCGCTGTACATCGCAGTCCCGCACCCAGGAACACATTCCAGCCACAATGAGTTGGTAAATCGTTGTTAGGTAATCATTTTTAACAGTATCTAATTCGATAGGCGTTATAGATGTTACTTCACGCTATACTATTCCATGAAAAAATAATGGATAGTAAATAAAAGCTATACCACAACATTCTTTTAATTAGTTGAAAACCTGAATGGTTGACCTTCATGAAAAATTATTGAAGACCCAGCACGCTTTTTATAAGACAGGTGGTGATTTATTGGTTGAGTGGAGCTTCTTTCTCCAGAATCTTGAGTTTCCCCACCCTTAACCAGTGCCGGTTGCAGGGAATTATTTGCATGAGAGGGAAGTTGATGACACTCCCAAAGGAGTGCCTAAACTGCTCAATCCTCAGTTAGTACGGAAAGTAGTATGCGCTAATAAGAGTGTTGGCAATGGAAAAATGACCGGAAGCACGCTTTGTCATCGGATTTCCAGTCATTACTTTACTGTATATACACTCGTATATACGCTCCCCAGATCAACCCCGCTGACGGGTGATTGCTGTGGCAAAAAGATCAATAGAAATAGCTGAGAGACGTGCGAAACAAAGGACCCGCATGGTGTGGTGGTGAACGCGTTACTCCCCGGAAAGGATAATAGCGCGTTCGTTCCCCACCATAGACACCTGCGGTCCAGAGTTTTGCAAATATCTCAGCAACGTTGTGGTTGTATTTCGCTTAATAACCTGCCATGAAAATTATAGAAGGCAGAAAACAAAACGTTAAACATTGTGGTTTCAAACACAATTCTACACCCAATAATTCCATTAACCACGAATGTTGATTATCAGTTCTCACACACACAGAGTTTCGCCATACAATGGTAGGCCAGTGATTTCCATGAGA